GTTGTTAAGATCTATTATGACAAATAACAAATCCAAAAGCTATAATTGCGTTACACTGTCTCATTTCTTCATATCCAAAAAATTAAGGTCAACGAATTCGTTTTATATGTAATTCTCCGCCTAATTGGATCACCAATTATGATGGTATATTTTAAATAAAAGTTTGGTTGACAAAAAAAAAAAGATCAACGAATTCGTTACTATCCTTGCATTGAGGAGAAACATGCATAATATATAATTAGAGCTAAAGCTTTAGATCGTATTAAGTATGTGTTGCTTTCTAACAACCTGTTTGCGACATTGTTCCCAAATCTCTAATCACATACACATTTTTTAAAAAATTTGCTTAATTCATTTGAAATTGCATCCAACATTTTTTTTGTTTTAATTTGTTTTTTTATGGGGAATAATATAGCAATTTGGACGGGATAGTGTACACGATCCCGTACACCAACACGTTTTGTTTTATCTCACAAGTCCTTTTCTGTCTTTTTCACTAATTCCCTGTATTACAGAAACAGTAAAAAGTGACTACTTTTTTAATTTGCTACAGTAAATTGACTACTTTTCCTATAAATTTTTCAAAAGTGACTACTACACTAATTTACCATTTGTTAATTAAGGTAAACTGAATGGAATACAAACAAAGAATTATTACTTACTTTCATATAACGATAATTAATTTAAAAATCAAATTTTAGTTAACAATTAAATTGATTTATAATCATTAAATCAAAATTTTATGCTTGTGACCAAAAAAATAAAAAGAAATCAAAATTTTATGTATTTAATTCAAAAACATTCAATTGTACTTAAGGAATATTAACTCCCGTGTATAAAGAGGATTTGTTTTTTCAATTATTTGACCAAATCAATGTAAATCTTGTCTATAGAATTAAAGTACATGCTGACACTTTTGAATAACTAATATTTCCATACTTATATCCGCAAATATTGGTTCAATATTATTGTTAACTTTCAATATTTTAAATTTATAATTTTTTTAAATAAATAACTAATGTATGAACCTTCGTTTTCTAATGGAACATTGCTCAAGAATTTCTGCATATATGAACCTTCGTTTTCTTCAAAGTTAATACAATATTTAATTAAAAGAATGTAAGTTATGGTATTAATCCTAATTAAAAAAGTTGTCGAAACATTTACATAGAATCGAATCTAATAAAACTAATCGTTATTCCCTTTAATTTATACATGATGGACGGCTTGACTGTCTGCCCTTCCGTTCTTTCACATATATTAGATTTCTAGTCTTATACAAATAAACGATTAACTGAATTGTTTATTTTTATTTTTATAAAATATAAATTTAATTATTGAGAAATCTACATATAGTTTTCATCCAATCCACTACGTATACATACACATCTGTTAATTGATGATTTTGTTGCATGTGATATTTAATCCTCGCATGAATTAACCTGATAAAATCAAAATCTGATCCCCCAATTTTCCATGTTGTTTATAATCTGAATATATATATATTTATAAAGAACTAAAGAACCTACATATATATTTGCTTAAGGAAATTTATATATACACAATATTCATATATACTATTAATAGGTCGATTAATAGTTATTTTAACAAATAAAATATGAAATTTTATTACTTACGTATATGACATCATATAATTTATATATA